TGTTGAGTTGTTATAAGTGCGAAATCGAATAAAAGCCTGCCTATAGCCGATTCTGATATTCGCAATAAATGAATCAATTCTATATCATCTCAATATATAACATATATATATAATTTATAAGTGAATTTATGTTCACAGTTGTTAGAATTCTGAGTATACATATTTTTTAAATCCGCATTTAGCCCGTATAAATCGAGCTCGAGGCAAAGTCAGAAGCAATGCAATGCTAAAGCTATGCCAAAAATAAAAATGGGCCAGAGTCAAACTTGAGAAGCGATGCACTTGAGCGATGTCAAAAAAATGTCCCACAGCTTAATTATATTTTATTTTGCAATGTTGTTGCTGCTGTTGCTGGTACTTTGTAATATCCGTCAGGGTGCCGGGATGCTGCATCGGATGTTGCCTTAATAGCGCTCCAGGTACTCCAGCTCTCTCCCTCACTCTCTCTCTCTCTCTCTTTCTCTCTCTATATATATATATATATATCGGCACGGCCTGGCTGTCCTTTGCCGCATTATGCTGATGCTGATGTGGTTGTTTATCTGATGCTGCCACCGGGCTAGTGGTCCTGACTGCTCGGGGCCAGGCTGCCAAACTAATGACTGTTGCTGCCGTTTCACTAGCCCGAGCCAGCTAATTAATTGCCGTCGTTGCAGGTGATTAGAACTTAAATGAGTTGCAGCAGCGGCGGTCAGCCCATCAGCAGAGCGCACCAGAAACTAACGCCAAGCGATCCCAAAACGCAACCATAATGTGTACAAAATATGTTTAGTTGTCATTTTGTGCAGCTCTCTGGCTGGCTAGCTGCTCTGCATGTTTCGACTGTGTACAAAATGACAGTTAATGTGCATTACTGTGGCTAGTAAACCAATATGTTTGAGCTTTACTCATTGGAGTGTATTACATTTGGGCGAACATCAGCAAAGCGAACACTTTGAATAACTATAACGAGTTTCTCGAATATAACAATAATTAGATACGCCCCAAGTTCGTGTTCAGTTATTAATTAAAATTTCTGCCTGCTTTACAATTCAAATATTGAAACAATGCTGCGACAATAAAAACAAAATTGAATTCTGCATTTACTTCTTTCTACTTCAATATTTGCCAAAGCAAATAATTCAATTGATAAAATTTGTACACTTAACTTCTGTTTTTGATTGGCATTTACGAAATTCCTGACTTGCGTTTTAAATGTGTGTAAATATTTTCATTTATGTGCCATGGCGATATTATAAATTGTTGTTAACTATACTTTTTAATGTTCAAAAACATTCCGTTCATATGTAAAAATTGGCTTAGGTTGCTCGTGTTGGTTAGCTTCCAAATATTGTGTATATTATGGCGAAGGCCTGCTTTTGAGAATCTTTAAATTCGTATATTTATATGAATGAACCGAATGCTTCAAGTTTAGTCAAACAAATCGTACATTTGACTTGTTTGCGCAAACACCTTAGCACAAACAGTTTCATGAATAATACCATTGATTCAGCCTCAAGCAAACCCACTTTACAAAGCTGCCAAACTGCCAAACGTTTGCACAACATTTATCACCTTTAATGCAGCGAACGGCAAAGCGAAGCCGTTTTGGGCGTTTGGGGCCTGCTGTCGCCCCAAAAGGGGCCGCGGGCAAAGCAAAGGCCATAACAAGTGCCGTTTACAGTGGCAATAATAAAAACAACAACACGAACAGGAGTCACTGACACAACAATGCAACGAAATGCAATTTCACAGTAGGCTAAACTGCAGCAGCGTACCCTGCTCGGACGGGACAGGAAGAAGGGGCCGATCCGCCGGACATTAGTTCCGTGTTTTATGGCCTTGGCGCTCAAAGGGCGCATGGCGTGAAATTTAATTATGATTTATTGTTCTGTTAGCCTTGGGTGCTGGTTGTCTGCATATGTGTGAATGGGCGGGGGCAATGCCTCAGTCTTAAAACTTTTACGAGCTACGAATGGCTCAATACTTAATTCATATTTTATTGACAGCTTGTTTCTTCTGCTATTAAAACTTTAGAAAACTTAGGCATTAATGGGCTAATCGTCTGGGCTTGCGTCTTTCAAGCTATTAATTTTTAAGTGCTGCCATAAATCTTTCTAGCTTTTTAAACGAAAATAAGTCATATCAGAAAATATATTTCGATTGCGACTTGGGGGCCTAGCTACTGATAGACATGCCTGCATGGAATTATAAATAAGGATACGTTGAGTCGCTGTCTCAATTACAAATGTCGCTATAACTTGTGCTCTATTTGTCATTGCAGTCATCCAGGAGGATCCCGAGTTCACGGACGTCATTGATAATATAACAGTACCAGCAGGACGAAATGTCAAATTGGCCTGCTCTGTTAAGAATTTGGGCTCGTATAAGGTAAGATTGATTAATTAGACGTAGTTAATTTAATGCAAGCTAAGAACCTCTTGTGGTGCACACATACAAATACCCTGATATATATTTGTGGCATGAGGCCTAATACACGCTGTATGTAAATATACTTTTGTGCATAGAAGATACACTGATAAAGCTGACGTGCATATAGCTTAAGCAGAAACGCCAAGTCATATAGAAAAGCTATTTGTTAATAACAAAATGTATGACATGAAATGAAGTTTTTATCAGATCAAGTCGACTCTAACAAACGTGAAGTGATGTGTTTAACAGATGGAAACAAAGCCTTGCAGCAAACTAATACGCCGCTGTCTAAGATCAACATGTCCAGGGGCCATTCAGCAACTATAACAAAAACAACACCAAACCGAGTCAAGGTCCAGAAAGCCAGCAGCAGCAACAGGCGCCCCCCGGCGTCTGGATACGAAGGGCAACGCATTGAACTTGTTGACTTGCTCAGCTCCGCTCTACACTTGAGTTTGGCATGAGTTGTAGTCATAGTTGTTGGTCTTTGTGTTTGTTATTCTTGTTTTGTTAGTATGTAACAATGGGCGCTCATGTTTGCCCTTTGCTCATCGCTTGACAGCGCACGGCCAAACAATCTGGCATCCAGTAGCCAAAAGCTGAGCAACCCATTCTGGCAACTGTGCGTAGCTGTCTCTTTAATTAAGTAATTTGTGCGCAAAGTCTACCCAGATGGTGGGCACAAAAATCAAACTGTCGCAAATGCCTTGGCCATGCCAAGCACGTTAAGCAGGTGGGGAGTTAATGCAAAATCCACTTGACAAACCTCTCTGCTCAATATGCATCGAGTGCTGCATACTTTTGGGCTGCAATTGCTATGCATAGCACTTGCTTTGTGCCGCCACACATAGCTTCAATGCCTTTGTGTGCGTTTGCGTTTGCGTTGCGTTTGTATGTGTGTGTGTGGGTCTGAGTGCCCGGCAATTTAAATTTGCATTCAATTGAATTTCCATAATGTGCGTCGGCCGAAACGTGCATAAATTCCATTTGACACGAGATATTCGCTTCATCTTTTATCAGCGAGCGCATGTTATGTGCTCGTAATAATTTTTATGGCCCTTAAGTTTGGCATGCAATTGCCCCTACAACCCCAACCACAACCCCAGCCCCAACTTACAATGCGCAGGACCCCAAGCGACCAATGCCGTCGTCGCCGCAGGTATGCTCAAAAGTTAACCAGCGACAGCAACTACAACAACAGCAGCCAGAACAACCCGTAGCTGCAATAAAACGTGACTTTGCATGCAAAATAGTTGCGTAGCCGCTAGCAGGCAGGTTACATTGGAATTGATTTTGCTATCCTTGTCCTGGGTATAAAAACTTTCATATCAAGTTGGCTAACATGTTTTTTGGATGATTTCTGCATGGGATCGCATATTGTATTCCAGTACAAGATCGTTTGAATAACGAGCTTTTGAATTCAACTTTTTTAGTTCGTTTTTTGAAAGCTCCGATTATTTGTTCATAACAATAAAAGCTAACAAATGAGAAAATTAAATAGTATTTTTTAGATTTATTTTTTGGTAATCTTTGCATTAATTTGTAGTCATAGCACCAAGAGTTTATAAGGTTTCTCGGTAAGAGTATTCGAGCTTCGATATGCGAATAGCTTTTTGCGTTTCTTAATTCTTTTTAACTGCTGCTGCTGCTTTTCTTGGCGTACAAATATTTGAGCTGCGTGTAAATTAACTCGCGTAGTTCTTCGACGCTGCTTTAACACGTTTGCGTTTAAATTGTTAATATTTCGAGCGTTGCCCTGCCATTTGCCATTGCCATTTGCAAGAGCTGAAACTGTCGACTCTTATGCTGTCATGTTCTTGTTTGTATTTCAATTTTCAACGCCTACACAAACAGCCAGACAGACACACCACCAACAAGCCCAGCATGAGCATAAGTTTAGTTTGTTGTTGTTTCTGCTGCTGCTGTTGCCATCGGTGTACGCCGGAACCAACCATAAACATTTTCTGCCATAATAAAGTGTGTTTATTTTTGCTATGGCTGAAAGTTTTTTTTTTTTTTTTGCAGTTTTTGTTTTTATTTTTTATTTTAGTTTTTGTTTAAAAAATTTTATGACTTCATTTTGGTATGTCGAAGTGTAGTTTCTGGCCAAGTATGAGCTACAACGGGCAAACGGGCACAGATATTACGCAAATGGCAAATTGGACATTTTCTGTCTCGTCTATCGACTGCCATCGGCATATGCCTCAGCTCTGACAATATTCATGCGAACGAAGATAAATATGCAGAGATTTAAAATGCACTAAATGGAAAACTACTATGGCCAGACTAGACAATATCCATAGCTATTAAATTTACAGTTGAGTTGAATATGTACATATACTTCAATTTACATTCATTTGGATAAGATTATGGTGTATGTAATATTCAATTCTGATGTAAGGGAACTATGTACACGTGTTTAGAAATATTTGGTTTATTAATAACTAGATTATTTTAAATTAACTTTCTCGACATTTTAAATTTGTTTTGGCTTATTGGTTTGCAAAATAACTTGACATATGTTTCACAAAACAAGTCTATAAAAGCCTTAACACGGTCGAAAATTCTTCAGTTCAGCATTTTGTTGTCTTAAGTGAAGTTATAATGAACGTGAAGCGAATCCTTCTTTTATTGTTATTGGCCATAGTTTTCGAAGGAAAGCTGGCCAAAATCTACGAATATCCAACAAATCCACCAAATCCACCAAATCCGCCTAATCCACCAATCTCAATAAATCCACCAAAACCAGCAAATCCACCAAAACCAGTAAACCCAACACATCCACCAAAACCAGTATATCCACCGAAACCAGCAAACCCAACAAATCCAACAAATCCACCAAAACCAGCAAATCCAGCAAATTCGCCAAAGTCACCAAAGGCTGCAAGAACTGCGGAAGTAAAATAACTAATGTCATATGTGTGGTAAATTATATTAAAGTCCTATTTTTAGGAGGTTCTGACTGAAATGAATAATGAATTAACTGATAAAATTAACAAGCTGATCGCATCGAAAGAAGGGAACATCGAAAACAATAAGGAATATGAGGAAAATTTGGATGCACTAAATAAAACTATTGAACTTGCGATGATATTATATCCAAAGAAGAAATTAGCTTATGATACATTTAAGGAGTATAACAACCAACGATTAGAACTGGAGGACAAAATTAACAAACGTCTAGAAAAGCTGAATAATGACTCTAGTTCACAAAGCAATGAATGCAATAAGTTTTATTCAAAACAAAAAATCGCGCTCAACTCTGCTCTTAAGGAGACAAACTCTAAGAAGGAAGACATCTTACGAGAAAATAGCGTGGAATGTCCATCTAACCCTGTCAAAGATGGTGCATGTGATGATGATGATGATGATGATGATGATGATGATGATGATGATGAGTACTATGATTATATGAATTAAACAAAATTAAAATAACATTTTTGGACCGCGATCAGCTATGTCCAAAATGAAAAATTAGTTCCACAACTAAAATTTTAAATTTCACAATTTTAATAACATTACAAACTTTTAATTTCATTCTTTTTAATATTTCAAATTATGCCAAAGACACTCTGTTCTATTTAAAATATAAACAATAATATAATTATAAAACCTTAACTTTCACCTAAACATAACTGTTTTCCATATAAAAACAAATGTTATTAAAATCGCAATCTTACCAACATACGAATAGTTCACGTAATTGAATGTAGAAAATATTCATTGTGCTTCATAAAGTAAATAGATTTGTGTTATTACAAAAGGCAACTAAAACTGAGCGTAGTGTGCAAATTATCTATTTCAGCTAACTTGCACAAACGTGCACAATAATAATTACATTGTCGAAAGCCTGAGTACCTAAAATGTTTTTAATTAGCTTTAGGCTTTGGACAACACCTAGGCAAGTGCGATTCTATAAAAACCCATTACATTGGCGCAAAATTTTCAGTTAAGAGGTTTCTAGTTTGCAATTATTATGAACGTGAACGGTATCATTATATTTTTGGTATTGGCCACGTTTGTGGAAGCAGCCAGTGTTCCAGAAGACAATAAGTCTTCCTCTACTACCGAAAAAGACACCAGTTCTTCTACTTCTACTACAAAAGACACTAGTTCTTCTTCAACTTCTTCTACACCTTCTTCAACTTCTCCAAAAGACACTAGTTCTTCTTCTACTTCATCAAAATCCACTAGGTCTTTTTCTACTTCTTCTCCTAGGTCTTCTACTTCTCCAACTTCTTTTTCTTCTACTTCGACTTCGACTTCTACTTCAACTTCGACTCCCCCTACTACGTCTACAACAACAGAGGTTTGAAAAATAGCTGCTGTCATATGTGTGCATTATTCAAAATGAAATTATTATTTGCAGAACCCTCTCACAGAATTGGATGCGCACATAAATAAACTGATACAACAGCTTATCGACTCCAAAGAAGGATACTACAGTAAAAATAGTGAATATGAGGATAAATTGTTATATTTAATTCATGCCAAAGGACTGAAAAAGGAATATTTTGCCTACAAATATGTCGCTTATGAAACATTCAAGTCGTATAACAAACGACGATTAGAGCTAGAGGAAAAAATTGAAGAGCGCATTGAAGAGATCAATATTGAACTTACAGTCGGAACGGAAACTGAATGCTATACGTTTTATTTAAAGCAAAAAAGGACACTCGAGCTCGCTCTAGTCAACACAAACTATCAGAAGGAACACGCATTAAGACAAAGTGACTTGAATTGCCCCAACTACATATATGAATACAATGAATATGATGAATACAATGACTATGATGCTTTTGATGATTACGATGATTTTTATGACTATGATTATTAACACTTAACAGAAATATTGTTCAATATAAATATTCCGATTTGTACCTCCGAGCATCTGATCTTTCTTTTTCGCCATTTCCATGACTGCCGTATGAAAAAGTATATTCTATTAACTTATTCGTAAAGTGCATAGTGTATTACATTTTGTGCATTGTCTGTGTAACACTCTGTTGTTTAGAACGTCACTTTTTTTTTAGCGAATGTAATGTGTATGTCTTCACGCAAAATTCTTCATCTGTCGTTGAAGAGCTGGGCTTTACATATTTAAAATGACAATGGTTTATTATCTATGTTATGCACTATAGTTGGTTAATTTTACAATTACGTGAAGATATGGAATAACTATACTTTACACTGCTTACAACGCTGACATTCTAATTAACTTTTATCTTTTTACATTTGTAAAGCAGCGTGCACTAACTGTCAAAGTATATTTGTGCGTCTTAAACAAATTCAGTATAACAATTTAGGAGTTCTCTTATTTAAACAATCATTTTCTAATCGATTGTTCAGCAAAACGATTTTCCACTGTGCTTGTTACCATACAATTGAATTGGAATCTACATTTTTTCTTGAACATTTATCGAATATTTTGAAAGAGCTTTTCTCTAGTTAAACATGAGCTTCAACCGACTTTTGCTCTGCATACTTAGCTAACGAGCAATTTGTACTCACAATTGTGGGCTCTGTGAGTCCATTGACATAAGTTAAATTGGGCATTGCCCGGGCGGAGCAGCAGAGGCGTCCACAAGATGAGCTCAAGTGTCCGGCTGATGTCGTCTTGCTCCTGCTTCTGCTAGGCTCTTGGTCCCACGCTATATAGCCTGTTTACACATGACATGCCCACAGCAAATGCAAGCAGACGGAATGATCGGCAGGACCTTCTGGTGGCCACGTTTGCTGACGACACGGCAATCCTTGCAAAAAACAAATGTGTGTACGTGGCAACTGACCTCTTGCAGGAATACCTCAAGCGATTTGAAAACTGGGCTTGTAGATGGAACATCGCAGTGAACCCTGGAAAGTGCGCCACGGTTACCCACACTCTACGCAAGGACTCATGCCCCGGACTTTTTCTTCATGGTGAGCTTCTAGAGCAATATCGTCAACACAAGTACCTAGGTGTCACTCTCGACAGACGACTTACATTTAGTAAGCACGTCTCTGCAGTAACGAGCAACATCAAATCTAAGATAAGGCGAATGAGCTGGCTCCTCAACTCCAAAAACAAACTCTCGCTCCGAAACAAGGTCCTAATCTACAAGGTAATCCTTGCCCCAGTGTGGCGTTACGGGCTTCAAGTTTACGGTATAGCTGCAAAAACACACCTGAACAAAATTCGCATCATTCAGGCCAAAACCCTGCGCAAAATAACTGGAGCCGAATGGTATATTCGCACACGCGACATCGCCAAGGACCTCAAGGTTCCAATGGTGGGCGACGTAGTCAACAGGCAAGCAGCGAGCTACTCAACAAAGCTCCACAACCATCCAAACATCCTGGCGAGGAGCCTGCTAAGGAGGCGAAGAAGAAGGCGACTGAAGAGGACCTACCCAACCGACCTAATCGATCGTTATGTATAGGTGACAAGCTTCGTTAATTACACCAAAATATGTTTCTATAATCTGTTAACCTAATTGTATAACTAATTGTAAAACCACAATCATCGCTAAGCTAAGTAATTATGTCACTCTGATAAAAGTTGCTAACATAGAGTAACAGGATACCAGATTTCTTAATAAACTAAATATAAAAAAAAAAAAAAAAATCTGCTAGGCTCTTACTAATCCTCGGTTAGGGCGTTGCAGCTGTAAATGGGCTTAAATATGCGTAAAATTTTAATAGCAGATGGAAAGCCTATTAAAAAGTCACAGCCACACACATTGCGAAGTCAACTTTGCCTTGACTTTCGCTGACATTTTGCAACCGAAAATTATTAAGCCAAATGTCACACACTCAAACCAGAGCAACGCATTCACTGGCCAAAATTCAGCACAGCTTTCCCGGCTGGGCAGGGTTGAAGTAGAGGGTGCCCATTTTGTTTGGCTTTTCAACTTTTTCGCTGGCTACGTTACATGAGCCTAATTAATTTCATTCAAATGACCTCAAAAACTACTAAAATACGAAATGCAAATGCAGCAAATTTTCACAAAATTTTGCGGGCAACACTTTAAAATGTCGGACACGGCGAGTGTGTGTGAATGTGTGTACATTTTTTGCTTTTGACTTTAAGTGTTTCAGCAAGTTGGACGCTAATGCAGTTTTATTGATTTTACATGGCGCTTGTCCTGGCTGCCACTTTGAGCTCTTTACCCTCGACTCCCGACTGATAAACGTGGCTTCATTAATATTTGACTTTGTTGTTGGCGTGGGGAGTTGGCCATGGGTAGCGTTGGCTGCGAACTACTTAAGCAAACTACAGCTGCTTGATTTTTATTCAACTAGAGCTGCCAAAGCGTCAGCCAAGGAACCAATGTAAATAAACGGCAAATAGTGCGCCAAGAAGCGAGCGCGAGGGCGAGTGGCATTGTTCCTTGTCTCGTCTGGCTTGTCGCACGTTTTCATTGCAGACATTGAAAAATTAACCGATATCTGTCTATGTTGCCTGACACTCTGCTGTAAACAGCCCGCAGCAGATACCCTTGGAGCAGCTCCACCTCACAATCTCACATATAAAAACGCGCCGCAACAGAGGTGCCTCCGAAGAGGACACTAAAAGGCTGCATAGCGAACGCAAATAATGGCTAGAAACTGATGAAAGTTTCTATCATTTTAACATGGACTGCAGGCTATCAAGTAAAGTGCTAGTGGAATGTCGAGTAGTAACCACGGCAAATCAATCATAAAAGATGAAGGATCGATTATGACCAAATATATAATTAGATGTCTCCCGGATTGTCCCGTTCATCATCATTGAAAATTTAAAAATCTACGATCCCTTCGCTACGTCTCTGCTATGCGAGGGTTCAACTAACTCCACGTAGTCACTGTTTCGATCACTGGCAGTCTCTTTATTCACTTCTTATTGATGTTATTGTTGAGTTGCCGTAGTCGCTTTGGTGGCAGGATGTGTGCTTAAATTTATCATTGAAATGGCATCAAGACAGCGTTGTATGTTTTTTACATTTAGCACGTCTTACCAATGTTCTGCACGCTTAAATTTGCATAAATTGTTCTTGTTTTATGTGAAACTATTGCATAAGCAGCAGCAAAGGAGCTGGCGCTGGCACTGAGGTCCAGGATGCGCATCCTGATGACGCACGAAGGCAGCAAGGTTTGCGACAACAGCTGCTGTCATGTGTGACGCGAACTTTGGCAATTTGACCAACGGACCCGGACAACATCGCTTCTCGTTAATCCTTCATAAAAATTGATGATGATGGCACCGAAGTTTGCCAATAAAGAAGGCTGACATATTTGTCAGCTGCTTATAAATGAACATTTGATACTTTGGCCCGATAAAGGGCTCTAAGTATGCTAATTATGTTTGATAATTTTGGTTTTTTTTTTGCATAACCTAACTATGTTTCTGTTTCTGTCTCTGTTGCAGGTGGCGTGGATGCACTTTGAGCAGTCGGCCATTTTGACGGTGCATAATCATGTGATAACACGCAATCCGAGGATTAGCGTAACGCACGATAAGCACGACAAGCATCGCACCTGGTTTCTGCACATTAACAATGTGCAGGAGGAGGACATGGGACGGTATATGTGCCAAATCAACACGGTGACAGCCAAAACCCAATATGGCTTTGTCAAAGTTGTCGGTAAGTGAATAACTATTTGTATGTGTGCGTGTGGCTGTCTGTGTGTGTGTGTGTGTGTGTGTGAACTTTGTCAGCTTAGCTGACATTGAAATATTTGTTCTGGCGTTCGTCTCTCGTTTCATCGCAACTTGGACACGTGTCCCTTGCATATTTCATTTCATTTGCCAGGCAAACTGTTGCCAGGTATTAGTAGAGCCAATCCCCCGGCACTGGACAAAGCTGTTTAGGCCTTGTTTTAGTCAGCAAGGCAAACAAACATACAATTAAATTCCCCACAAAGCACTTTATTAAGGCAAACAAACATTGGACTCGCTCAGAACTGCCTGCTTACCAGCTTGCCAACTTGCCTGGCTGCCTGCCCATAAAACTATGCTTTAAAAAATTGTATTTCCACTCACACGTCGGACAATCGCACAACCCACCCGCACTCACCCATTCGACATTTTAGCATGAGCAATGGCATTTGTGTGTGCGTCTGTGCCTCTTCTCAGTCTATCCCAATGGTGTTGACCATAGGCGGTCCACAGCATGAGCCTGACTCGCTGGAAAATGTACGGCAGTGCAAATGTCGTCGCTTCAGCTGGAATTTTTGTCAGCGATATGTGGCATGCATCGGCATTCCGAAGATTTCAGACTGCAGATATATAGTAGATAAATATTGTCTCATATCAGCGTGAAACTGAATTCCTATGTGAGTTACTAAACGATGGTCAATATTCGTCGATTGCACATATTGGAAATCAATCAACTTATTGAAGCTGAACTTTAGCTAAAGTCTGGCCAGGTATTGAAATTAATTCTATTTAATTTATAAAAAGGGGATACTTTGATATTTACATTTGTCATAAGCAAAACTCATAATTTTCTTATTTTGAAAATATACATATAATTTGTGTGGGGAGAACATAGTTTTCTGTAGAGGGCGTCGAAAATTCCTAAAGTTAAATCTCTATTGTTTGTTTTAAGCCCGAGCCCCAGAATACGATTCGGTATCTCTGGGTAACAGCAGTTGGCAAAGTGTATTCTAGCAATTTGCATGACCCGCCACACCTGTCTCCAGTTTCATATGTAATACCCATAGATTCCATTACATAGTGCACATTTAAGTGCATATGTGTGTATGCCTAAGCGTTTCATGTTTACGTAGCGTTGCAGTATGCCTGACTCTACACATTTTTTTTTGTTTTTCATCTTTTTTTTGTGTGCAGCATTTTTTGTTTTGTTTGTGCTACGCTCTCTGATAGCACTTTCAAAAAGCCGTTAAGCACGCTTCAGTGTTGTAAA